CCCTTCCCATGTGTGTGTGTGTTTTTTGCTGTATCTGTGAGTGTGTGAGTGTGTGTGTGTGTGCGCGTGCGCAAGTATGTGTGCGTGTTTCACTTTTACACGTCTATTTGTGTCTGGTTCTATGTCTTTGTATATGCGTGTGTTTCTGTGTGTGTGTTTGTGTTGCATGTGTGTGCGCAAATACATGCATGTATCAGTGTGTACATGTGTCAGTGGTTGTGTTGTGCCTGACTGAGTGAAGTAGACCAAAAGATCCTCAAAAGCTAGACAACATGCATTTATACATCATGTACCACTGTATTTATATATATATATATATATTATATTTCCATTCTCACAGGTTTTCCAGATTGCTTATGTGATCCTGAAGGCTGCAAACTCTCCTCGACCTGGGAACTGGATTCTGGAGCGATCTCTGGATGGTGAAACCTTCATGCCGTGGCAATATTACGCCATAACAGACACAGAGTGTATAACACGCTATAACATCATCCCCAGGACAGGCCCACCATCCTACACACACGACGACGAGGTGATCTGTACCTCCTTCTACTCCAAAATACATCCTCTGGAGAACGGAGAGGTGAGAGACGCAGCTCAAACACACTTAATAAAACATTAACGTTTACCTTATGAGTGATTTTACCTTAAATGACTTAAAACAGCTTTTATATTTTATATGAAAAAGCTACATTTTTGTGATTCTTATTTTTATTTTTCCCGTTTATTTCTGCTTTTAAATTGCATTTTGGGAGCTCGGTCCATGTACATTTTGATAATTTGTTTTCAATTTTAAATGGAGTAATGGAAACGAGGAAAATAGCCATTTTTTGGTTTTTCTTTTGCTTACAAAAAAACAAAAAATGAGATTTTGGCTTGATTTTTGTCTTTTGGGTTAGGGAAGGAAAACGGCTAAACCACTTTAAAATTCATTATACACATGTAGGCGGTGCTGAAACGCCCATTTTCCTCTGATTGGTCAACTAAATCTGAGCTCGAGTCGTCACCCTCTAAATAATAGTCCTCTGTGGACCAGCACCCAGGCTTTTAATTATTATTGTTTAATTATATATATAGAAAGTACGTTTACATATTCTGTCATTTGATCAGTTAGCAGGCTTACATTCATTGCGTATGCGTAAATTAAATAAAAATGTAAATTAGCAGAATTATTAGACAGTTGTAATTTAAAATAAGGTCATAGTTTGCTGCCAAACATCTTGCTGCTGTGCACCTGATGCTGAGCAAAGATTTTGGGTTTGCATGATTGTTTTAGAGCTACTGTAGGCCTAAATAATAAATAATAAAAAGGATAAATAAATAAATAAATAAATAATAGTCATGATAATAATAATAATAATAATAAATAATAATAATAATGATGATAATAAATAATAGTAGTAGTAATAATAATAATAATAATAATAATAATAATAATAATATTAATATGCCTATGGTTCGTCGCCAAAATTCTTGCTGCTGTGCACCTGATGTTGAGCAAATCCATTTACGAGCAGCACCTAGCATGCATGATTGTTTCAGAGCTACTGTAGGCCTAAATAATAATAATAATAATAATAATAATAATAATAATAATAATAATAATAATAATAATAATAATAATAACAATAATTATAATAATAATATAAAAACTAAAAAACAATAGTTATAATAATAATACTAATAGAAATAATAATAATAACAATATAAAAACTAATAAATAATAGTAATAATAATAATTATCATAATAATAATAATAATAATAATAAGAAGAAGAAGAAGAATGATATAAAACAAATAAATAATAATAATAATAGTTATAATAGTAATAAAATAAATTAATTAATTAATAATAGTAATGATGATAATAATAATAATATCAACAATGATAATAATGATGATATAAAACAAATACATAATAATAATAGTTATAATAGTAATAAAATAAATAAAATAATAATAATGATAAAAAACTAATAAATATTAATAGTATTAATAATAATATGAAAACAAATAAATAACAGTAATATTATTATTATTAATAATAATGATGAAATAAAAACTAATAAATAATAATAATAGTTATAATAGTAATAAAATTATTATTATTATTATTATTATTATTATTAATAATAATAATAATAATAATAATAATAATAATAATAGTAATATAAAATAAATAAATATTAATAATATTTATAATAGTAATAAAATAATAACAATAATAATAATAATAATAATAATAATAATAATAATAATAATAGGAATATTGATATAAAAACAAATAAATAACATTAATAGGTATAATAGTAATAAAATAAATAAATATATAAATAATAATAATAATAATAATATAAAACAAGCAAATATTAATAATAGTTATAATAGTAATAATAATTTAAATCTACTGATAATAAGAATGAATCAAAACCTAACATTTTATTGGTCAGGTAAAATTGTAATATGCCAATTGCATAATAAAATATTCAGAAAGTCAGTTCAGAGCTGACACTGCAAAAATACAACATCCATTACTCAAAGATAAATCAAAGAGTTAGAGATGTAGCTCTGTGTTTCCAGCCTAACTGTCAACTGTCTCAGGTTGATTTGAATAGAACAGTTGAACAGCCGGTTTCCTGATCTCCTTCTCAGATCAGAAAGTTTTTTGTTTTATTGCATCTCATGAATTCATTAACAGTTCTCAGGGTCTGATATTCTGGAGAGATTTAGCCATCCTTACACTGGTAAATCACAAAATACGGAAACTAGATAATTTTACAGTGTGTAAACTCTCTCTCTCTCTCTCTCTCTCTCTCTTTCTCTTCACACAGATATCAGATCAAATTTACATACAAACCAAACACATGTAGAATTCTGCGTGTTTGCATTAATCCAGCTGCTAACTTCCCCAACTAATAACAGGCTGACATGAACACCCACACACTGATGATGAATGAGATGCAAGTTCTCCTACTGCAGCAATTCTGATGTGTGTGTGTGTGTGTGTGTGAAATCAGATTTACAGCTGTCAGATCATAGCACTGTACCAAACTGTGTGTGTGTGTATGTGTGTGTGTAGTTTACTAATGAGGGAGGTGGGTGGAGAGATCAAGCCTGGACTCAAATGTCTCTCCTTTAAATGCAGACAGCACAATCTCACACAGCACTAATTAGTACACATCGTTAACCCAAGAAAGACCTACCATTGCTGCACACACACACCCACATCCACACACGGATGCACACACATGCATGTACACATACGAGTAAAAGCGGTTGAGCTCAAGCGCATCAAATGAGAAGCGTCTTGAAAGGGGGTGGGGCATATCAGATACTAGAGAGCATTTGATTGGTCAGAAGATTTGATGAGAAACTGACGTATGAGGTGACGTGAATAAAACCGCTGATTCATTTAGGCGAAAGTGACAAACTGCAAACTTTACATGTTTATATCCATGTTATATCTTCTAAATGTGAATTTTGTAACTGTTTTTGGTTCACACTAGCTTATAGATATCCTAAAAACTACCAATACTGATACTAACATCTTTGTTAATTTAATGAGAGCTGTAATACTTCGCTGCAGTTGAGTGAATAATTCAACGACTCACAGATAACCTGATCTCTCCTGGTTGTCTTTCAGATCCACACATCCCTGATAAACGGACGTCCCAGTGCAGACGATCCCTCGCCAACACTCTTGAACTTCACCTCCGCACGCTTCATCCGTCTGCAGTTCCAGAGAATCCGTACATTAAATGCCGACCTCATGACCCTCGCCCTGCACGACCCACGGGACATCGACCCCATTGTCACCAGAAGGGTGAGCTGAATATCGCACACCCACAGGGCCTGAAATGCTGTTCATGCATTTCTTTTCTGATCTAGTAGCTATGTGATTTTTAAAAACAGTTATATTCTTATTTGGCCACATAAATGGACAGATATAAATGTGATCTTCAAATCCAGTACTATTTGTAAGAGATAGAGTACATCCAGGAGGTTGTTTTCACATATTAAAGCCTGACAGGTTTACCAGCAGCCTGACATGAAGCACAGCACTGCTGTATAAGACTGAAGGGTTTATTCTCCGATTACAACCATCCTGGATACACTTTAACCTGCTTATTAGATGGCTACTTACCACAAAACATAACAATTAGACACAAGATGGCGCCAAACAGTCAAAAACACAAAGCTGACAGACACTAAAACAGCTGATGGAGTATACACTAACCTGCGCATTATTCAGACACAAGATGGAGACAAACAGACAAAAACACAACAGAAACGAAAACAGCTGATGGAGTATACACTAACCTGCACATTATTCAGACACTAGATGGAGACAAACAGTCAAAAACACAACAGAAACTAAAACAGCTGATGGAGTATACACTAACCTGCGCATTATTCAGACACTAGATGGAGACAAACAGTCAAAAACACAACAGAAACTAAAACAGCTGATGGAGTATACACTAACCTGCGCATTATTCAGACACTAGATGGAGACAAACAGTCAAAAACACAACAGAAACTAAAACAGCTGATGGAGTATACACTAACCTGCACATTATTCAGACACTAGATGGAGACAAACAGTCAAAAACACAACAAAAACGAAAACAGCTGATGGAGTATACACTAACCTGCACATTATTCAGACACTAGATGGAGACAAGCAGTCAAAAACACAACAAAAACTAAAACAGCTGATGGAGTATACACTAACCTGCACATTATTCAGACACTAGATGGAGACAAACAGTCAAAAACACAACAGAAACTAATACAGCTGATGGAGTATACACTAACCTGCACATTATTCAGACACTAGATGGAGACAAGCAGTCAAAAACACAACAGAAACTAAAACAGCTGATGGAGTATACACTAACCTGCACATTATTCAGACACTAGATGGAGACAAGCAGTCAAAAACACAACAGAAACTAAAACAGCTGATGGAGTATACACTAACCTGCGGATTATTCAGACACTAGATGGAGACAAACAGTCAAAAACACAACAGAAACTAAAACAGCTGATGGAGTATACACTAACCTGTGCATTATTCAGACACTAGATGGAGACAAACAGTCAAAAACACAACAGAAACTAAAACAGCTGATGGAGTATACACTAACCTGCACATTATTCAGACACAAGATGGAGACAAACAGTCAAAAACACAACAGAAACTAAAACAGCTGATGGAGTATACACTAACCTGCACATTATTCAGACACTAGATGGAGACAAACAGTCAAAAACACAACAAAAACGAAAACAGCTGATGGAGTATACACTAACCTGCACATTATTCAGACACTAGATGGAGACAAGCAGTCAAAAACACAACAAAAACTAAAACAGCTGATGGAGTATACACTAACCTGCACATTATTCAGACACTAGATGGAGACAAACAGTCAAAAACACAACAGAAACTAAAACAGCTGATGGAGTATACACTAACCTGCACATTATTTAGACACTAGATGGAGACAAGCAGTCAAAAACACAACAGAAACTAAAACAGCTGATGGAGTATACACTAACCTGCGGATTATTCAGACACTAGATGGAGACAAACAGTCAAAAACACAACAGAAACTAAAACAGCTGATGGAGTATACACTAACCTGTGCATTATTCAGACACTAGATGGAGACAAACAGTCAAAAACACAACAGAAACTAAAACAGCTGATGGAGTATACACTAACCTGCACATTATTCAGACACAAGATGGAGACAAACAGAAAAAAACACAACAGACACTAAAACAGCTGATGGAGTATACACTAACCTGTGCATTATTCAGACACTAGATGGAGACAAACAGTCAAAAACACAACAGAAACTAAAACAGCTGATGGAGTATACACTAACCTGCGCAATATTCAGACACAAGATGGAGACAAACAGACAAAAACACAACAGAAACTAAAACAGCTGATGGAGTATACACTAACCTGTGCATTATTCAGACACTAGATGGAGACAAACAGTCAAAAACACAACAGAAACTAAAACAGCTGATGGAGTATACACTAACCTGTGCATTATTCAGACACTAGATGGAGACAAACAGTCAAAAACCATCCTTTAAACCCGTAAAGGGCTTACATTAATCTATGTATATCTTACTCTCCCAAAAACAACACATCATGCCTTTGTAAACAAACAAAGTACTATCAATTTCCATTACGGAGAATAATAATAGAAAAATATTGCATTTTGTTTGTACACGGAGACCTTCTTAATGCCACCATCTGATATAAATTTAATAATTTAGTGTCATGATTTCAGTAGTTAGAATCTTGCAACCAGATGCATTTAGACCTGTCCGGTTTCATTTCTAATGCAACCCAGAAACACCTCCTGAAGTGGTTGCAGCCATCAAATTTATATCAATCTCAAATGCAAGTCAGAAGGCATTTACACCTGTCGGTTTAACGATTGGATAGCTATCTGATCAGAATAAACACACATGAAGTGACCAGTGCCATTTGTGAGTGTGTGTATGCCGGAGCTGGCACTGCCTCATCCACTGCCAGCCTCTTCTCCTCAGACAGATGGGTTTTAATTAAAAATCACACAGTAATTAACAAATCGGGCCGCTCGGTCCCTCATAGACGGCATATCACACGCCTCCACCCGCCCACCGCCTCCTACAAAATCATTAACTCGCTGATTGACCCGTTTCCATCAAACAAGAGCAGCGTTATGAAGTGCGGGATTACGTTTCTCGTGTGCATTGAGCAATTTGGATAAATGTACCCAAAGTGTTTCGTTCAAAGAGTCATTCTGCAGTGTGAGAGGTTTAAGCTGTGTTTGATTATGTGAGGCTAATTTAAAGGCCATTGTGTCATTCTTCTGTAAAAGCGTGCTGTTTTGAGTCTGCTCGCTGCACTTGAGCTGAAATATTAAAGAGTTGTGATGAAATCCCCCATTTTTCAGTTGTAGTCTGTGTTATAATTTTTTTTTTTTAAAGTGACTTAAGGGGACATTTTACTTTTCACTTCACTTCACTTTGTCACAGGCCCATTTGAGTTTCTTTTTTTATTGTTGAAAACATTTTGTTAATTTCATATTTTGTTATAATAACTATGCCAACTGATTCTCATTAGGGTTGGGGTTAGTTGACATGCACTCGCAAAGTTTCTTTAAAAAATGTTGTAAACTTGTAACCATTGACTTCCATTATATTAGTTTTTCTTAGTATTTTAGTTAATTGTTACAGGTTTAAAATTTTTTTTTTTAAAGAGGAAAAACTAATAATATACAAGTCAATATTTACATGTATACAACATTTTTCGAGCTATAAGAGAACAAATACTATCAAAAACAAATACTGTGGAAGTCAATGGTTACAGGTTTCTAACATTTTTTTTAAGCTAGAAACTTTGCAAACACATTTTAACTAAGATCTTTCAAAAAGTAGAAAAAAACAAATACTACGAAAAAAAGTGGAAGCCAATGGTAACAGGTTTGTAATATTTTTCAAAAAGTACAAAAGACAAATACTATGGAAGTCAATGATTACAGGTTTCTAACATATTTTGAAACTATAAGAAAAAATACTATAAGAAAAAAAAAATACTACAAGAAAACATCAGCCTGATCTCATGAGGAAATATAAGTGTTTTACGTTTTGTCAGTTTAGTGGCTAATTTGTACGAGTTGAGACGTACGAAAATAAGCAATTTTAAAAAGGAGGTTTGGCACCCAACCCCGCCCCGAAACCCAACAGTGAGCAAATCGTACAAAATTGTATGAATTAGATCGTATGAATTCATTCGAATTAGCCACCAAATCAAAGTTACGAATTGCCATGAGATTGCATTGAAAAACGTATACTATGGAAAACAAATACTATGGAAGTCAGCGGTTACAGGTTTTTTAAAAAAAATTTAAACTATAGGAAACTTTGCAAGTACATTTCAACTAAGATCTTTCAAAAAGTAGAAAAAAAACAAATACTATGAAAAACAAATACTATATGGAAGTCAGTGGTTGCAGGTTTTATTAATTTTTTCAATAAGTAGGAAAAACACTATGAAGGTCAATGGTTACAGCTTTTTTAACCATAAGAAAAGCAAATACCAAAATAAAACAAATACTGTGAAAAATAAATATTATGGAAATCAATGGTCACAGGTTTCTAACATTTTTTAAAAAGTAGAAAAAACAAACACTATGCAAGTTAACAGTCACAGGTTTCTAACATTTTTCGAAAAGTAGGAAAAATACTATGATAATCAATGGTTACAGGTTTGTAACAGTTTTCAAACTACAAGAAAAACTTATTCTATGAAAAACAAATGTTATGGAAGTCAATAGTTACACATTTCTTACATATTTAAAAACTATATGAAAAACAATTACTATGAAAGCCAATGGTTAAGATTTCATTTTTTTTAAAGTATAAGAAAACAAATAATATGAAAAACAAATGCAATGGAAGCCAATGGTTACAGGTTTTAAACTTTTTCAAAAAGTAGAAAAAGTACATAAAAGAAATATTATGAAAGTCAATAGTTACAGATTTAAAAAAAACTATAAGAAAAGCAGATACTATAAAAATACTATGGAAGTCAATGGTAACAGGTTTCTAACTTATTTTAATACTGTAATAAAAAATACTATATGAAAAAAACAAATACTTTTAGAAAACATCAGCCTGATCTCACAAGGAAGCGTAAGTATTTTACGCTTTGTTAGTTTAGTGGCTAATTCGTACGAGTTGAGTCATACGAAAATGTACAATTTTAAAAAGGAGGCGTGGCACCCAACCCCGCCCCTAAACCCAACCGTCATTGGGTGATGAGCAAATTGTACTAAATTGTATAAATTAGATCATACAAATTCATAAGAATTAGCCACTAAATCAAAAAGTTACGAATTGCCATGAGATTGCATTGAACTTATACTATGGAAAACAAATACTATGGAAGTCAGCGGTTACTGGTTTCTAACTTTTTTCAAACTATAAGAAACTTTGCTAGTGCATGTCAACTAACCCTAACCCTAACCTTAATGAGAATTAATTGGTATGTAGTTGTAATTTAAAGTAAAATCAACAAAATGTGTTGAAGAGACCATCAAAACACAGAGATAGCAGACACACAAAATCAAAAGTAAGATTTTGCTCGTGACGTCAGGTGACCAAAATGTCTAGTCAGAGTTTAAGGACAATTTTACAATTTTAAGGACAAGTTATATTGACATCCAATAACGACATTAAATGATGTTGATATTTGGTTGATTTTAGGTTGTGTTGGAAAGTGACCAAAATCCAACGTCAAGCTAACATCTTAAACCAACGTCATTTTGACTGACATTAAATCAACAGGTATGACAACCAAAATCCAACATCTGATAGACGTCATAGTGGTAACGTTCACACAACATCAAGCTGTAACATCACTAGACGTTGATATTTGGTTGACTTTAGGTTGTTTTGGAAATCCAATGTCAAGCTAACATTAAACCAACGTCATATTGATGTCAAGTTCTGACATTTATTCATCAGGTATGGCAACCATAATCCAACATCTGATAGACGTCATAGTGGTAACGTCAACACAACGTCAAGCTGTAACACCATTAGACATTGAAAATTGGTTGATTTTAGGTTGGACGTTGGACATTGACGTTGGTATGACATTGGATTCTGACCTCAACTCGATTTTCATTTCCAAACAAAACGCAATGTCCTGCGACATTGGGATAAAACGTCAATCTGACGTCATGTTGACTTCCTGTGCCTGCTGGGTGGAATCAATATGTGTCCCCAAATACCTAAAAATGTTGACAAAGTCTTTGGGGGTGTCCCTAAAACACTGGCAGTTGTAACTTTCCGCAGAGTCTCAGTCTAAAGCTGATTGCATTGCTTCTGTTTTTCAGTATTATTACTCCATTAAGGATATCTCCGTCGGAGGCATGTGCATCTGTTACGGTCACGCGAAGGCCTGCCCTCTCAACACACACACCAAGGTTTGTCATCTACAGCTACAGAAACTCTTTCCTCAATTGATTTCCTGCGTGCACTTTTAATTAGGTTTATTGCTTGAGCTTTGTTAGTAAGCTGTTAATTAGAGACCGAGCACGTTTGGCCTTTATGAAAGAAGCATGCGCTCACGACGGTTGTAAAGATTCAAAAATGTTTTCATTTGTGCCTGATATGATCTGAATTTAAAAGTGTGTGTGTGTGTGTGTGTGTGTGTGTGTGTGTGTGTGTGTGTGTGTGTGTGTGTGTGTGTGTGAGAGAGAGAGAGAGTTATTTTACAGTAGTATCAGTGAGACGCTACATTTGTTTATTATTAGGCATTTTTTTCTATTTTTATACTGCCTAATTTTATTTTAATAAAACATTTACTCATCTGATTATGCTTTTTTGTCATTTTCATTGCATTTTTTAAAAACAAAAGTGTGCAAATATAGTCCATTTTTATTTGAAGGTGTCCTTACATTGTAGATATTTATTTACCTACAGAGTAATATTCATCTAATGCGTGTAATAATAGTTAGGTTTAAAATTCACTGTGTGTGTGTGTGTGTTTGTGTTATATGCGAGAACTGCTCTAACTTTGTTTACCAAACAATGGTTCCAACTAACAGGTGACACTGTGGCACAGTGGTTAGCACTGTTCCCTCACAGGTATTACAAAAAGCAGGTGAAATATGATGGTGATGTCTTCGTTTCTCAAAAAGCTTATAAATCCTACAGAATGAGCTTAATCAGAGAGTAAACTGCACACTGTCTCCTGTGATGGTTGGGTTTAGGGGTGGGGTGGGGTGAGGGCAATACAATATACGGTTTGGACAGTATAAAATGAACGGAAACCTATGTAATGTCCCCACTTTACACAAAAACAAACATGTGTGTGTGTGTGTGTGTGTGTGTGTGTGTGTGAGAGAGAAAGAGAGAGAGAGAGTTATTTTACAGTAGTATCAGTGAGATGCTTCATTTGTTTATTATTAGACATTTTTTATATTTTTATACTTCTTAAATTCATTTTAATAAATCATTTACTCATCTGATTATGCTTTTTGTCATTTTTATAGCATTTTTTATGTGCAAATATAGTCAATTTTTATTTGTAGGTGTCATTCTTACATTGTAAATATTTATTTACCTACCGAGTAATATTCATGTATTGCGTGTAATAAGAGTTAGGGTTAAAATTCACAGTGTGTGTGTGTGTGTTTGTGTTATATGCGAGAACTGCTCTAACTTTGTTTACCAAACAATGGTTCCAACTAACAGGTGACACTGTGGCACAGTGGTTAGCACTGTTCCCTCACAGCAAGAAGGTCGCTTATTCGAGCCTCGACTGGGTCAGTTGTAGTTTCTGTGTGGAGTTTGCATGTCCTTCCAGTGTTGGCGTGGGTTTCCCCCACAGTCCAAACACATCATGCGCTATAGGGAAATTGAATAAACCAAATTGGCTGTAGCGTATGCGTGTGAATGAGTGTGTATGGGTGTTTCCCAGTACTGGGTTGCAGCTGGAAGGGCATCCGCTGTGTGAAACATATGCTGAATGAATGAAACGACTAAGCTGAAGGAAAATAAATGAATAATTGGACTAATTGAATTACATTTTAAAGCCTAAATAGGTTAAAACATAGTTTAATAGTTGTTTTCCCAATTCTTTTGTTTGTTACGTTTCCCACTCTTACTCTCAAATTCATTCCACTGAGATCCACTGATTTTTTTTAAAAGAAACCAAGCAGAAATAGCAAAAAAAGTTCTGGCATTCTGTCCCTGGTTGCATGTAATTAAGCATGATTATTTGTTAACACCATAGGAAGTACACTCATCGGCCACTTTATTAGGTACAACTGTTAACGCATATTTCTAATCAGCCAATCACATGGCAGCAACTCGATGCATTCAGGCATGTAGACTTGATCAAGAAGATCTGCTGCAGTTCAAAGCGAGCATCAGAATGGGGGAAGAAAGGGGATTTAAGTGACTTTGAACATGGCATGGTTGTTGGTGGCAGACGGGGTGGGCTGAGTATTTCAGAGACTGCTGATCTACTGGGATTTTCACGCACAACCTTCTGTGTGTGTGATGTGTGTGTTTCAGAAATTCAGCTGTGAGTGTGAGCACAACACATGTGGAGAGAGCTGCGACCGCTGCTGTCCTGCTTACAACCAGAAGCCCTGGATGGCAGGAACCTTCCTCACACGGCACGTCTGTGAAAGTAAGACATTTTCACCGTTTCGCATGTGCTCTTGAAACATCACTTTAGGTTTTATGCCATCAAGACTTTAGTTTGTTTGAAACTGCTTATTTAAGAATGAAACATGACTGTCTTGATGCAGGAGTCACTGATTTATTCAACCCTGGCTCACTGGAGATACAGCTGAAGTCAGAATTATTATTCCCCCTGTATATTTTTCCTCCAGTTTCTGTTTGATAGAAAGAAGGTTTTTTCAACACATTTCTAATCTTAATAGTTTTAATAACTCATTTCTAATAACTGATTTATTTTATCTTTGTCATGATGACAGTCAATAATATTTGACTAGATATTCTTCAAGATACTAGTATTCAGCTTAAAGTGACGTCTAAAAGCTTAACTAGGGTAATTATAGTTTTATTTACTTTAATTTGTCTGGAAAAGAAAAATAATTAAATTTTTATTAAAGCGCTAAAGTCTATGGGCCCTATCATACACCCGGCGCAATGTGGCGCAAGACGCAACGCAATTGTTATTTGCTAGTTTCAGCTTGGTGTAAGATTCGTTTTGACGTTTCGCAGCACGCTGTTTAAATAGCAAATGCATTTGCGCTCATATGTGTGCCCATAGGCGTTCTGCTCTAAAAAAGCAGACGTGTTTTGGCGCATTGCTATTTTGAGAAACTATAATTGTCTGTGGGCGACGTAGTGGCTCAGTAGGTACTGCTGTCGCCTCACAGCAAGAAGGTCGCTGGGTCGAACCTCGGCTCAGTTGGCGTTTCTGTGTGGAGTTTGCATGTTCTCCCTGCCTTCGCGTGGGTTTCCTCCGGGTGCTCCGGTTTCCCCCACAGTCCAAAGACATGCGGTACAGGTGAATTGGGTAGGCTAAATTGTCCGTTGTGTATGAGTGTGTGTGAATGTGTGTGTGGATGTTTCCCAGAGATGGGTTGAGGCTGGAAGGGCATCCGCTGTGTAAAAATTTGCTGGATAAGTTGGCGGTTCATTCCGCTGTGGCGACCCCGGATTAATAAAGGGACTAAGCCGACAAGAAAATAAATGAATGAATGATCGTCTGTTCTTTAGACCAGAACAAAGCCGGTCTATTTTCTGACGCAGAGCGCGTTAGTTATGCGCCTCGCATACACAGCTTAATACACACAAGATGTAGAGCAATACGCAAATATCTTTACATATGAAAATATTTAAATATTAAAGATATCTATAGGATATAATAAGAATATATACAGGATATAAATTTAAAGGATTAAAATATTACATAACATATTATTTTCTAGCCTACATAAATAAAAAAACCACTGCCTTCATGCCTTCTTCATCTCGGGAGGCTTTTTCAGTTCATTCAATTTGCTTTTGTATAATGTTATTATTATTAGCAGTATTATTTATTATCTGCAGATTTATATTTGTTTTATTAGAAACGAGCTTAGATTTGTCCGCCTGTCAGGTTTTAGATCATATGAGGCACGGCATGTGTTTTAGGATATAACTCAGGTTTTTGAGCTCACTTCGTTATTATTGTTCATTTATTCATTTGCTGGAAATTAGAACTGAATTTAGAAACAAATCTTTGCGTTTAACAAACAAAATTAATTATTTATAGGCTAATTGATGTCTGTGCGTAAAGGTTTCCCTATCCACGAGAGCGAAAATGAAAGTAGACCATTTATCTCTCATACTGGCACTGTAGATGCTTGTTTAACTGTTTTCTTGCTAGTGAAATGCTCGGTTTTTCCACTTACACTTACTTTACTTCATGTAAATAGCAAATGCGCTTATGGCGCGACGCAACTGGCTCTTAAAGGGGATGGGAGATGAGACTCTGAAAACACGCCTATAACTCATTAAGAAAAAAAGCTCAACAAAGCTCAACCCTTTTAGACCATTCACCACGGCGCAAAGCGGATTTTTCCGTCCTTTAGCTTCATAGCTAAAGGGCTAACATAGATTTTATAAAGAAAATAACAGTGTTTATGTGCTTTATGAAGGATGATAAACAGCGTCGATACGTTTAGGGCCACTACATCCTTTCAGAGGTGCATCCAGCTCTTTAAGCTCATAGACTCCTCCAGAAACTGAACCTGGCTGACGGAGGTTTTCAGCGGCGCTTCTGACTGAGCCCACCCCAGTTTGATGAACTTCTTGTCGGTTTCTGCTGCGGAATTTCCCCTGGGACACCGACAACAGGCGATACGTCACAATCACGCCCCCACAAGAGCAAGCTCCTGATTGGTTAATGAGGCGCGAATGTCCGCTGAAGTTCAGATTTTCGAACTTGAATGATTCGAGCGAAACGCGCATTAAGCACGTCAAACGTGCAAAACGCTCAATTCGCACCACGCCATTCGCACCATGCGCACTGTGCAATTCTCGTCATTCGTGCCGCGTCATTCGCGCGTATCGCGCCGCAGGATGTCTATTTGTACGTTTGCATTGACGTTTGCGTCACTCGCGCTTGACGCGCGTCCTGCGTCTGGTGTGAACGCAGCATTAGACCTCTCAGTAAATCATTATTTTTTTCATCGGGTAACTTTCCTAGTTAATTTGAGTAGTTATGCCTATGAATTGCACTTTAAGCTAGTGTCTTGCAAAATAACTAGTAAAATATAAAAATGTACTCTGATCATGGCATATGTTTGAAAAAATTCTCTGTTTAACACACTTTAGAATTGCAAAAAAAGAGATTCAAATTTAGCATGGGGGCTAATAATTTTGTCTTCGACTGTATGTTTTATCTGTGATTTAGTTTTGTCAACATTCAACTCTTGCTCTTGCTTATTCAGCACTCATCTGTTGGTGCTGCTTCTCCTACTGTTGCATTATTGTGTGCTCTTTTATTTGGCAGAGTGTAATTGTCACAATAAATCAGAGGAATGCTATTACAACCAGACGGTTGCTGATGCTAAGCTGAGTTTGAATATTCATGGTGAATATGAGGGGGGCGGAGTCTGCCTCGGCTGCTCTGAGAACACTGGAGGAATTAACTGCCAATCATGTATAGACGGCTACTACAGGCCAAGTGGGGTGAGTGTATTCCTATATAATCATATTACTGTTTTAAAATAATAGATAAATGCATAAATGTGACCCCGGATCTTATGTTGAACAGTTATATATTTAGGAATAGTCAAAAATACATCATATCAGTCAAAATTACAGATTTATTTATTGCCTGTTTTGACCATCATATCTATTAATAAAAACTATGTTTGGAACAAGAGGAAGCTAATATAGAAATAATGGAAATGATAGAAAGGCAACAGTGACTTAAATAAGCACTCGTTACAACTGAGCTCTGCAGAACAGCATCTCTGAACACACAACACGACCAACCTTGAGGCGGATGGGCTACAGCAGCAGAAGAGCACACCGGGTGCCGCTCCTGTCAGCTAAGAACAGGAAACTGAGGCTACAATTCACACAGACTCACCAAAACTGGACAATAGAAGATTGGAGAAACGTTGCCTGCTCTGATGAGTCTCTATTTCTGCTGACACATTCAGATGCTCGGGTCAGAATTTGGCATCAACAACATGAAAGCATGGATCCATCCTGCCTTGTATCAATGGTTCAGGCTGGGGGTGGTGGTGTAATGGTGTGGGGATATTTTCTTGGCACATTTTCGGACCATTAGTAGCAGTTGAGCATTGTGTCAACGCCACAGCCTGCCTGAGTACTGTTGCAAATCTGCAGCAACTGTGTGATGCTATCATGTCAATATAGAGCAAAATCTCTAAGGAATATTTCCAGTATCTTGTTGAATCTATGCAGGGGCGGACTGGCCATCTGGCAATTCTGGCAAATGCCAGAAGGGCCGGACCATTTTTTTTAAAATGTGGGCCGGTCAGTTTTTTATTTTTATTTTTTATTTTATTATTATTTTTTATATGTATTGTTTTTACATGCAGGCAGCTTTTATCTCGTGCAACATGTGAATATTATGATGACATTGATGATGGTAATAATAGTAAATGTTAAGCATTTGGCCCAATCGGTGATAGTTTCGAGAGGGGCCGACTCAATCAAAGGTTACGCGGAGATAATCAAAATCTAGCAAGAATGTCAAACAAACAGTACGTATGGTAATGTGGGCGGGTGTGGCTATAGTGCCAGGGCTGAATTTTTGTCCCAATCCATCCCTGAATCTATGCCATGAAGGATTAAGGCAGCTCTGAAGGCAAAAGGGGGTTCAACCCGCTACCAGTAAGGTCTACTTTATAAAATGGCCGGTAAATGCATTTAAGACAGGAGGTTCACTGACACCAGGCACAAGTAAATGCAAACTATATGACGTACCAGACCCAGCAGAAATCTACACTGAATATTTTTACATCAGAGGGGAAATGTGGATCTCAATCTGAGAATTAAATGACAGGCTAGTTTCTAAAAAGGGGAGGAGCTGCTCTATAAGCCCCACCCTAAGAGTAAAAGTTGCTGATTTCATGTAGCAGATGTGGCTAACAGAAAGGACAACAAAGAGCTCACAGCAGGACTGTCTTTAAAGATTTATCATTTATTGGTCAAATTCAGCTTCCCCTTAATGGATGGAGTTTTTACTTCCTTCACCAACTGTTGTCCTGCATAAATGTGCAACTGCTGCGCCAAGCTTTTGTCTCATTATATTATCATCTTTAGTTCCACTAATGCAAAAGCAATGATTTGGTTTCGTCTGATTTATAAATGACTTCCGTACAGTCTTGTGCTGTAATATTCAATCACAGGTTTTTCAGAGACTTATGAAGGGCCAGATTGCCCCGAAATGAAAACGTGCTCATCATTTACTCACCCACCCTCGAGCGATTGTAAACCTTCATCAGTTTCTTTCTTCTGTTGAACACAAAACATTATATTCTGAGGAATGCTGGAAAAAGCACGCACTGACATCAATTGTCATCATCATCATCATTGTCATCCGCTTAATGCAGACCTTTATGTCCACTTCATATGAAATCTTTAAGTTTTGTCATTATTACTGGGATTATTCATTTTTTCCCTGATGAGAGCGCTGATACTGACCACTTGTGTGAGGAGGAGAAGGGACTGCGCCATCATCCATTTGGAGCTGCACACTGGTGTTGGTGTGGAGAGCCCCTCTCATATGATTGTAGACATTTTCAATGTATGGCCATACACAATGAATGCGCCAAATATATGTACATTACTTGCTTACTAGTGTGAATTTGAAGGCAGTGTTTTGTGTGATTGATGATGACGATGTTAACGATTCCCCAGGTGAGTCCACTGGAGCCGTGGCCCTGCACACCCTGCACATGTGACCTGCGAGGGGCACTTCACTCTACATGCATCCCTGATGAGAGTCAGGCCACCACAGGTACAACACAATCCACTACACAATACAGCACAACACACAGCAGGGACACTGGCCAAAACGCAAAGCTGACAGAAAGGAAAACAGCTGATGGAGTATATACTAACCTGCGCATTATTCAGACACAAGATGGAGAAGGTAAAAAACCCAAAGCTGACAGAAATTAATACAGCTGATGGAGTATACACTAACCTGCACATTATTCAGACACAAGATGGAGACAAACAGTCAAAAACACAACAGAAACTAAAACAGCTGATGGAGTATACACTAACCTGCGCATTATTCAGACACTAGATGGAGACAAACAGACAAAAACACAACAGAAACTAAAACAGCTGATGGAGTATACACTAACCTGCGCATTATTCAGACACTAGATGGAGACAAACAGACAAAAACACAACAGAAACTAAAACAGCTGATGGAGTATACACTAACCTGCGCATTATTCAGACACTAGATGGAGACAAACAGTCAAAAACACAACAGACACTAAAACAGCTGATGGAGTATACACTAACCTGCGCATTATCCAGACACTAGATGGAGACAAACAATCAGCAACACAACGCAGACAGAATTGAAAACAGCTGTTGGAGTATACACTAATCTGCACATTATTCAGACCAAAGATGCCTACAAACAGTCAAAAACACAAAGCTGACAGACACTAAAACAGCTGATGGAGTATACACTAACCTGCGCAATATTCAGACACTAGATGGCACCAAACAATCAGCAACACACTGCTGACAGAATTGAAAACAGCTGATGGAGTATACACTAACCTATGTATTACTCAAGACAGCACTAAGCAGTTCAAACTGAGATTCAAACTGAGATAACTCCAGTAGTATAGCAGTGTGTTTGGTGTATAGCTGATGTGACGGTGTGTTTGTTGTGTGCAGATCTGCCTGTGGGCTCATGCATCTGTAAGCCGGGATACGCAGGTGAGCGCTGTGACAGGTGTGTGTTTGGATATGCTGGATTCCCTCAGTGTGAGCGCTGCAGATGCAGCAGTGACGGCAGTGTAAATCAGGATCCCTGCCAGCCGCCTTGTGTGTGTAAGGTATGACACGTCTCAACACAACACGCATAAGCATTGCTAAATCTGCTGTTCTATAAATTCAGTAAGGTTTTTTAAACTATATCCACATAAAATATTAGCCCTTTTGTGAATTTTCGCAATTATTTGCCAAATTATGTTTAAACAGAGCAATGAATTTTTCATAGTATTTTCTATAATATTTTTTCTTCTGGAGAAAGTCTCATTTGTTTTATTTCGGCTAGAATAAAAGCAGTTTTAATTTTTTTTTAAACCATTTTAAAGTTGATCTTTGTTATTTGCCCTTTTAAGCAATTTTATTTTGATTGTCTACAAAACAAACCATAAGTCTTATTTGTTTTTTTTAAGATTGGCTAGAATAAAGGCTTTTTAAAATTTTGTAAAACAATTTTTAAGGTCAATAATATTATATTAGCCCCTTTAGAAATATCCCTTTTAGCAGTTGTCCTCCTGCAAAATGTGCCTTGTAAAATATTTGAAACTGCGTTTAGGATTTTCTGAGAAACGGCTTCATGGAGGTCTGTGTGTAGGCTGGGGTCTTGATGTTTCGATATTTATAGATGCCAATCAGTGTTTCTGAAATCTGCTGTTCGCATGAGTTTATCCGCTAATTAGAAAAGAAGCGTTATTAAGCACGACGACCCAAAAGTGACCCTGGTCAGAAGATGCAAGGTCACATATGCACAGTACAGAGAACCTGCAGCATCAGTAATTAAAAAAGCAACCCCTGCTAAAGTCCAGCGCAGAGATAATGACGCTCACGACGGAATGAGGCCAGCAAGAGGAGGATTATTGACTATTGAGGATTTGACACAATTCAAGATTATCAATTCCTCAAAAGACATCTAGGAGTTCCTACAACAGCAAGTCTGTAAACTCAAATCTGCTTATTTTAGCAACACTTAAGGTTAAAGATGCCATGAAGTACTTTGAAATGTGCATTTTCATTGGATGTTTGGCATAATCTTAACTGAAGCATGAAGAGAGGGCGGGACATATGCTCCTCTACGTCCTCTCTTTTTCATCTGAAACATGCGACAAAAACGTGACATATTTCAGATTATACAACAGTTCTGTCTGGTTCTCGAATCTGATTGGCTGATAGCCGTGATATATTTAAGTAATATCAGCACCCGTACAGCCTCTTTACCCTTTGTCAAAGAGCTTAGAAGACCAAAAGGCGACACTCACTAGAACGTTCCATTGCAACAGCAGCGCCCAGCAACAGCTCTAGATTCCGCCATTTTGGAGTGAAAGTGATCGACCGTCCATTGGATCTCATTACTGTCACGATGGCTACTTTGTTTTTTATTTATTTATTTAAAAAAAATGCATTAAAGCTGATATACAACCTAAAAGACGACGATACAACACTTATCACAATCATCAGCACTTTTAATAGTTTATTTTACAGATTTATAATATGCTGTTGTTCTATTGGAGTTTTCACTCCAAAATGGCTGCCGCGCTCTCTAGTGGCTGTTTCCCAAATTACACTAGAGTGTTGCCTATTGGTCATTCTAAGCTCTTTACCCTTTGTGTATTGCTCCGCCCACATACATCTAGCAAAAAGCAGACACTACAGATCTAAAGTTTAAAAGATGCTTGCTCAGCTGTTTAACTGTCAGCTTATGAATCCAACGCGGAAGAAAGTAGTTCCTCATACAAAAGGGTTTTTGAGACTCTCCATGTTTGATTTTGTTTTTATATACACCATTATGCCGTCAAACTGTTGTATAAACGCAATATCACACTCGTAGCAGTGCGATAAGGCTGTATATCGGCACTGGTGGGGGCACAATGCACGCCTCCCACCAGTGCCAATATACCAGCTATGTCCAGCTTAAACCAGGCTGGTCAAGCTGGTTTTAGCTGGATTTAGCTGGTCATTTTTCAGCCTGACCAGCTAAGACCAGGCTGGAAATGGCTGAAAACCAGCCTGGAAGTGGCCAAAACCCCTCTAAAACCAGTCTGGTTGACCAGCTAAAACCAGCTAACCAGCCTAGGCTGGTTTAAGCTGGATTTTTCAGCAGGGAACTGTTGTATAAACGCAATATCACACTCGTAGTAGTGCGATTAGGCTGTATATCGGCACTGGTGGGGGCACAACGCACGCCTCCCACCAGTGCCGATATATACAGCCATATCGCACTGCTACTCATGTGATATTGCTCATTTATACATATTTCACGTATTTTCAGTATTTCAGATTCACAAACATGTAGACAGCGCCCTCTAGTGTGTTTGCAATCTGAAACATACAACAAAAACAATCCCTAAGGAACGTATATCCAATTCACAACTATGTAGCCAGTTCCCTCTAGTGGATCTATTTGAAACATAAAACAAAATGCACCCAGATAAAATAATTTAGATTCACAAACCTAGACAACCTCTAGTGGATTTGTCATCTAAAATAAACAACAAAAACATTCCTTAAGTAACATTTCAGATTCGCAAAACCTATGACAGCGCCATCTAGTAGATTTGTCATGTGAAACATAAAACAAAACATACTCTAGATAAAATATTTTAGACTTGCATATCTAGACAGCGCCCTCTAGTGGATTTGTCAACTGAAATGTACAAAAACATTCCCTAAGTAGCATTTTTCAGATTCGCAAAATGTGTGACAGCGCCATCTAGTGGATATGTCATTTGAAACAAAAAGTGTACCCTAGATGAAAATTTATATTATGAGGTTCAAGGCAAGGCAAGGCAAGGCAAGTTTATTTATATAGCACATTTCATACACAGAGGCAATTCAAAGTGCTTTACATAAACAGGAATAAAAAAGACAAGTTTAGGAACATAAAATGCAGACAATAAAAATTATTAAAAACAGATAAAAACAAATTAAAATGAGTTCAAATAGGTTATAAAAGAATGAAAAAGAAAACGAAAAACATAATAGTGCGATCTGTCGGACGCAGCACAGTGCTCATTCAGTAAAGGCACAGCTAAACAGATGTGTTTTCAGTCTTGATTTGAATGTGCCTAATGTTGGAGCACATCTGATCATTTCTGGAAGCTGATTCCAGCAGCGAGGGGCATAGTGGCTAAAAGCCGATTCACCCTGCTTTGACTGAACTCTTGGAACTTCTAGTTTATATGATCCTAATGATCTGAGTGATCTGTTAGGTTTGTATTCAGTCAGCATATCTGTAATGTATTGAGGTCCTTGGCCATTTAGTGATTTATAGACCAGTAATAATACTTTAAAATCTATTCTGAATGTAACTGGGAGCCAGTGTAGAGACCTGAGGACAGGTGTGATGTGCTCTGATTTCCTGCTTCTGGTCAGAATTCTGGCTGCAGCATTCTGGATGAGCTGCAAGTGTCTGACTGTCTTTTTGGGAAGGCCAGTGAGGAGTCCATTACAGTAATCCACCCTGCTGCTGATAAAAGCATGAACAAGTTTCTCTAAGTCTTCACTGGAAACAAAGCATCTGATTCTTGCTATATTTTTGAGATGATAGTATGCTGATTTACTCACTGCTTTGACATGACTGTTGAGGGCTGTGAGCCCAACTAAAGCAAACACTTTTCTCCATGATGGTGACTTTAGTTTATGTCAGAGGTCACCAATCTCTGTTCTGTGTTTAACTCCAACTTACTTCATAAACCTGGCTAAGTGTTTCAAGTATACCTAAGATCTTGATTAGCTTGTTCAGGTGTGTCTGATTAGTGTTGGAGCTAAAATCTGCAGGACACCGGCCTCCAAGAACAAGTTTGGTGACCCCTGGACTACGTGGTGTACACATATGTTTTAATATAATTGGGCCACATTTGCCATATCTTCTCTGGGCCACATTAGCCAGAGTTTACTGTGCCGAATATTTGCCAAAAGTGGCCCACATATGTTTTAGGATAACTGGGCCACATTTGCACTTACACGTGTGAGCCACTTTAGGTTTAGACCCAGATTACACTTAAATGACTATGCCACATTTTTGCCAACTGTGGCCCACATTTGTCCTCCGGCATTTGGGCCGAATTGATCATTTTCCACATGGGCCACATTAGGCTCACATTCAGATCACATTTTGCCATAAGTGCTAAATATTTGCTTTAAATGGCCCATATATGAATTTAAATCTTTGCCTCCCCCTTTGTTATTATACAGGTGGGCCACTTCAGGCTCACATTCATTTTGTCTGGACCAAAGAAAGACCACCAGTGCAGCATACCTGCCTAAAGTGGCCCACATTTGTGTATGCTATCTGGGGAGGTGTCAAACTCAATTCCTGGAGGGCCGCAGCCCTGCAAAGTATCCCTCCAGCCCTGCTTCAACACACCTATCTGTAGGTGTCGAACAAGCCTGAAGCACTCAATTAGTTTGACCAAGTGTGTTGGAACTAAACTGTGCAGAGCTGCTGCCCTAGTGGAGTTTGACGCCTGTGTTTAGACTTTCAGATGAACAGAACTCCAGCACAGAAACATCAGTGGTAGTTTTCCAGAGTCCAGTCATTCAGAAACACTGCTGTGGTACAAACCTGTAGCTCACATGGACAGTAAATCAGTCTTTGCATCCACACAGAAGGTCAGCTCGGCCTGTTCTTCTCGAGTTGGCAGAGGCCTCTAATGACTGATTTCAGCTCAGGGACTCGTTGTGGGATCTCAAGGTGATTTCAGTTTTCCAGCAGCAAAGTACATGGTGAGTGTTTTGCAGTAAAACATGCCGTACACCCATGCTGTGACTCAACCTTTCCGAAGTAGGTGGACGGTTCAGATGCATGAGGGATCTGACAAGCAGAACGCTGATGCCAAGAAAGCAACGGCTGCTTTTCTACAGCAGTTAAAAACATCAGTTGCATTGTTCTTTCTTCACTGTTTTGTTAAACGAGATCTGGAGCAAGAACACATGCAGGATGTGGCTTGATTTTTGCCATGAGGAGTTGATTGGACGGCTGCGTTTTTTTTATTGGTGGATCTGATTTGAGTGACTGAGAGGCTGATACTGCCCTCACATCAGCAAACACCAATGAGAGAAGGGAAACAGT